TCAAATAATCGTAATATGTTTAATTTATCACGTCTTTTACCAAAAAAATAAATTGTATATTTTCAAAAACACATTTGTTGTCTATTTTTTTAGAGATAAATGTGATAAATTGAACATACTAGGAATATTAGATGGACTTAATTTTTTATGTAGATAATAAATACAAATTTTTTTTATAAAATAAACAATTTAAACCATCAAAATAATACTTGTGGTGGGCTTTTCGGGTGACTGGTGGTGAAACCAACAAAGAGAAACTTCCTATTTTTACATCGTTGGTACATTAGGCTCGTGAACGAAAACACCGAGGCTACTGTTTTAGTCAACTTATTTTATTCAAATTTTCATTTTTTTAATGATTTTTTTAATGTTTTAGTCAACTTATTTTACTTTTAAAACACATCAAGATTATGTGCAACTAAATAGTAAGGCCAAGTTTGGCATGAGATAAAAAAGATAAAAAGTCAAAAAGTCACTATCCTATTTAAGTCACTTCATCTTATTTAAGTCACATCACCTCTCTAACACATCACTTCAAACCCAACCCAAACCCAACCCATATTTCATAAAAAGTCAAAAAGTGCACTTATTTAGTCTTCCCAAACTAGGCCTAAAAAAAAATTACTAAAATATGAAGAAAAAAAAACTAAATATAAACAAAAATTTATTTAAAAACAGTTTTTAAAAAATAAAACTAAACCGATGCTAAAATTTTCAATTCAAAATATTTTAATGAATTACTAGATGTTTGTCTAGTTGTTAATTTTAAAACTTAGGAATTAATTGAGGTGCGAACAAACTAATCCAGAATTCTGATTATCAAATAAAATAAACACTGATTTTATCGATAGGTGTTTAGAAAAATCTAAATAAATCATATATATATATATTTTTATGATATTTTTTTAATTATGTCAAAAAAAAGTAATTTTTCAGGTATATGTTGTGTTAGATGAAACAAAAAAGTAAATTTTTATGAAAACTAAAAATAAAAAATGCCAAAAAGTCAAATTGTTTAGGCCTTTTCTTTTTCTATGATTTTTTTTCTTAAAAAAATAGATAAATTACAAATATAATCTCTGAATTTTGCTTAAAATATGAATTACCCCATGTGGTTTGAAAAATTACAAATACCTATTACAATAATTTTTTATTTAACAAAATTAAATAAAAAATAAAACTACTAACTGGTCTCTTATACAATAATAAAATCATCTGAATTATTATTTGAAATAAATTTCTAATATCATCAAAAACTTTTAATTAACTTTATGATTTATTAATAAAAGAGTCCATTTATTATGATATCTGAAACTTCAGGGAGCGGGATGTAAGTTCCAGAACTGTATGAGACAATTCGTATTTTAATAAAACCCTACAAAATATATTTATAATTTACCTAAAAAAAATTTATTTTTCATGCCTGTTTAGCCAAGTAAAACCCAATATATATATATATATATATAACATTTACTAAAAATAAAAACAAACTAACAAAAAATCGTCAAAAAAATAACTCTCAAACACATGTCACATATTTATAAAATATATATATAAGTCTTAATAGATGGACTTATTATTTAATAGGTCCTATGATAATTAATGACGTTTTTTATTAAAGACTATTAAAAAACGTCACTAATTGTTAATTTTCAACGACAATTTAAAAAATTTGTCATAAAAAATGTTATAAATTATAAGTTTTAGCTACAATTTAAAAAAAATTGTCACAAAAAGATACTAATTGTAAGTTTTAACGACAATTTATAAAAATCGAGACAAAAAAAATTGTTAATTGTTAATTTTTAGCGATATATGCAAAAAATTATTTTTAATAACGATTTTACTAAGACTTATTTTTAATAGGACTTGATAGGAATTAATTATTAAAACCTATTAGTAGTTTACCAAATATATAATATATGGAAAATTTTATTTATATATAAATTTAAAAAAAAATTAATAAAAATAATGTAACATTGTTATTATTATAAATAAATTTATTTTTAGTAATATTTTATTTTAAAATAATAAATTAAATCATTATGTATAAAAATTATATATAAATTTTTAAATTTATATATCATTACTTATAATATATATGGTTTGTTTATTCACATGATGTGGTTTTGCCCCACCTATGAACCTATGGCTCCTTCCTATTGTCTGTCCTTGAACGCTTTATTATGTACAACAAAAAGATGTAACCCCAAAAAATGAGTTGAGATTTTCTTTCCTGGTCTCTTTATTTGTAATGATAGAGATGTGTTTTGAATTAATCTAATGATTTAAATTTAGATAAAAAAGTAAATTTAAGTTTGTTTTATTATTTTATTATTTTTAAATAATTAAATCTAAACCTTCAAATTAACTCAAAATGCACCTCCACGTAAAAAAAAACAAAGGAGTGGGCCATGAAAAAGGACCTCAACTCCCAAAAAAATGTGTGCTTGGCTGTTGGCTAATTGGTATTTTAGTATTAATATTTACTTTTATCCATCAATTAATATCTTTTTGTAAGTTCACAAAAGTGTCTTTATGTGATTCATAAAGAAATAATTGAGGGACAATTTTGTCAATTTATAAGGCTACCCAAAAACCTTTATATTTTCCTAGGGGTGCAATTTGGGCGGGCTCAACCCGAGTAACCTGAGTTTAACCTGAATTTTTTAGGACTTAGACAAAATATTTTCAAATTCTGTACGGGCTTGGATAAAAATTTAGAAATCCAAATTAAATTTGAGCGGACTTGAACAAAGGTGTCAAATAACTCGAGCAACCCGAAATCCGAATTATACATATACAGATTTATGAAAATATTAAATATACGTACAAATTATTAACCGTTACATGATATTAAAGTAATTTATATTATTAAATCATATAGAATATATATTATATATACAAATAACATAAAATCTTACCTTTTTTTTTTCTTTTATTCACTCATAAATTGTAAGGACTACTATAGTGGCATCTCTCTTACATTATATAAATTATTTGTTTTGATGGTATTTTCTATAAAAAAAAATAAAAAATAAATTGTAAATAGAGTCAACTTTTAATAATTTAATAATGTAGCTTCAAAAAAAAATGAAATTCATTTATAATTTGGGCAATTCGGACAATTCGGGTTTAACCTGGGTCGGGCTTGGACAGATAACCTTGGGTTACAGTTTACGCATGGGCGGGCTTAGGCAGGTCTTAGCACAACTTAGATTGGGCTTAGACAACCTCCTAATCCGACCGAACCCGCCTGAGTTGCACCACTATATTTTTCTACACAAGTTGAGTTGGAGCCTGAGAAGCAGGGATAGGCACGCGAGTTAGAAAATACTAAAATAAAGAACAAAAAATATTTTAAATCCGACTTAGCCTAATTTCGGTTTTAAAAGTCTCATCTTATGCTTAGGATTAAAAGGGTAAATTACAATTTCGAACTTGCCCAAAAAATTCATAAATGAAATAAAAATAAATAATTTTATAGTTGAGTTGGGACAAAAGCTTAATAAATAGCCATTACATTTAAAGTACAAACTTAAATAAGTGTGTTTCCATTTTAGGTGTATTTTTTATAATAAAGAATATAGTAAAACTAAGTAGATTATATGACAAAAATAATAAACAAGAGGACCAGCTATACTGACACATCTAGTTGAACAAAAATTGAGCACCAATAGCCTTCATTGTTTAAATAAAACAGGAAGCAACAATGAATGATTTACCGAAATTCGTAGGCAAGAGAGAGGCCAGGAAAAGAGTCTTCGTTCGATTCTTCTCTGGGGTTTAGTTTATCATTGATTCAATCGATTATCAGAGATGTGAAAGAGCCATAGTCAAACCCACGAAGAAAGAGAACTTGTAAAGAGAGATGAACGAATACTTTAGTTCACCAAAACGACGTGAGAGAAAGGAAGTCGAAGATTCCGCAACTTTTTGGATGACTCTACAAATTCTTATTTTCTTTTTTTTTAAATTCTTTTGTTTATGACAGTGGGCTCAGGAAAGTGATGTGGAATGCCATGTAAGCTTTCTGTAGAGTTGTTAGTAGGAATATAAGTAACCGTAGCATTATTGTTATCTAATTGCATTATTTTTACAGGTTGTGTGGGTGAACGTGGTGACTAGTTTGATATCAGCTATTAATAATGAAATCATGTTTTCATGTGAGAACAACAATTACAGTTGTAGATTTGGAGAAGACAAGCTAAGGGAGGTTGGATTTTGCTTTTGAGATGAAGAAATGCTTTTTTTTTTTTTTTTTTTTTGTGCTCTGTTTTGCAGAATGGTGTAAATTTTTTGTTTGGCAAGTTGGATTGGGGCTAAAATAGCCATAAAAGACAAAATAGGCTATTTTAGCCACAACAAACAAAACATCACATCCAACCCATAATCATTACACTCTTCTCTCACAAAAAAAGTCAAAAAAGCCAAAAAGCCAAAAAGTCATTCCCAAACCAAGCTTTTTAGCCCAGGCTAAAATAGCCAAAAAAGCCAAAAAGCCAACCCACTTCCCAAACGGAGGCTCAATGAAGTATCTATTTTTGTTTGTGAGATGAAGGCTGCATTTTTTTGCATATTTTATAATGAAATTATTTTGCCTTATTTTATTGTAATCAAACATCTATGAGATTGTAATGAATGCTTCATATTGTAATAAATATTTTGCTTAGTAGCTAAAATGGTTTTGTTGTGTGTTGTGATTTTGAATAAATGAAATGTGCTATGGTGGTTGTGATTTTATTGTTTATTGTTCACAAAAAACATGTCGAAGTGCTGTCGAAATATTGTCAGAATAGATCAATATTGTCAAAAAATTGTCGAAATGCTGTCAAAATGTGCTATTTTTTTGTTCACATGTTGTTGAAATGGTACTAAAAATGCTGTCGAAATGGTTAAACATATATCAAACAAAACAAAACAAACATTCCTCATTAACTTCAAATAGAGATTCAATAGTATCACCTGAGTTCAAATAGTAGTCACAATGTGTAATGAAATTAAAAAAATACAACTGTGATGTCAATGCTCTTCACTTTTGTCATCTTTTGCAATGTTGGAGTTTTAGCTTGTGCCATATCATTCATTGTCAACATTCCAGTGAAATTGTGGGGATGCATAACTCCTCCCATCTCTAAGTTTGCCCTCCAACATGGAGATGGATGATGACGACCCTAATAATAAATAAAATAAAAGAATATACTAAACTAAGCTATGATTTACTAATAGAATTAAATTAGTGCATACCTCGAATGGATACATGCAACCCCTTGTCTGAACATACTTGCTTGAAATGACGAACTTCCTCCTTATAGTAGATTTGGCTGACTGAAATATGGACTCATCCCAATGATACTTGGATGACTGGTCATGTTTGGCCACATGCCCAATCCCCTGTTATAGTCATAAGTTGCATTTCAGAATTCTACAACCCAAAATTTAAAACCATAACTCACTCTTCTTTATGGTTAAAGTCATATTTTAAAGTTATTACCAACTATTTATGATACAAAAATTTTCACTAAATTTGTTTTACTTACATGTAAGTGAGTATTTTCCTCTGTCACAAGTTCAACAACTCTTGCACCATGCATATTCCCATTGTCCTGCAACTCCTACACAAATGTAAATTAATTAAAGTTAGCAATTATTATGAGCAATAGTGTAATCATTATAAGTAACCAATAAAATTCATTAACACCACGACCTTCTCCGGATTTCTCACAATATGTTTGTGCACATTTTCCTTGCAAGTTTGGCTTTGAATCTTCTTTTTTCCTTCTTTTTTTTTCGTAGTAACTTTTTCAACCATAGATTGCTTTCTTTTAAATGGTGAGCGCCCTTTTGAATAAGCTACCAAGGGATCAAGTATGTTTGTGCTCTCTTTTGAAATTCCAATGCCTTCTCCACATGACGTAGACCCATTTCGAGTACGTATAGAAATTTGTTTATCACTTCGGCAACTATCTTGCTTCATACATACGCGAAACTTACATCTTCTTTCTATGAACTTCTCACTCCAATCTTCAGACACTGCAACCAAATCCGCAACCTCGTAGAAGACATTACACATTTTATCAAATCGGTGTGCTTCAGGTTTGAGAGCCTAGTTGTCATAAATAATTCGCACTTTTGTATGGCTCCTTTTAACATTTTTGGACCATCTTTTCAAAATGTACTTATTCGGTATTTGATCAACCCTCTTGTGAATGAACACCACAATTTGATGCCTACACAATATTTCCCTATATTCAAATAACCAACAGTTACAATAAACCTCATTGGTATCTTCATCAAAGCACACATTAAAAGATACACGACGACGACTTTCTCCAAATAATATATCTTTAGTCACTTCGTATTCTGAAATGTAAGCATCTTTTTTATATGAAGATAAGTCACAAGAAATCTTCCCTATTAGCTTTCGCTGGAACTCTTTAAATTTTGCCGTTGTATAAGCACTTTGAAATTGCTTCTCCATTTCATAACCAACCATACATGGGATGCAAGAGTTGAAAGAATTAAATTCTTCATTATTCTCATTTTCTACCTTTTTTGCCAAAGCATTTTCATATTGTTCTACAAATTGTTTCAATGTGGTCTTGGAATTAACATACCTATCAAAAAATGCATGCATGCTTTCACTACGCTGTGTGGTTGACATTCCTGCCCAAAAAGTATCTTTCACAAAGGTAGGCATCCAACGATGCCTTTCATCATACAAACTAAATAACCATTTATTGCTTCGAAGTTTATCCTTCTCAATGAATTTTCCCCAACTTTCTTCAAATTCTCCTATAGTTAAGGAATCATAAACCACATTTTTCATTGAAAACTTGATTTCTTGATATTGATTGTAACCTCTCAATTTCTCAGGTAGCTTTTTCATGATATGCCACAAACACCACCGATGTCGTGCATTAGGAAAAACAACCTCTATAATATTTTTTATTGCTTGATCTTGATCTATAATGATTGCAGAAGGAGGACATCCAGACATGCATGTGAGCCATGACTGAAATAGCCATGTAAAGGTCTTTGTGTCTTCACCAGAGATCAATCCACACCCAAGTAATGTTGATTGGCCATGATGGTTCACTCATACGAAAGGAGCGAATGGCATTGCATATTTGTTAACTAAGTATGTTGTGTCAAAGGTATACATCACCAAACTCTTTAAATGCAGCTCTACTCCTTGCATCTACCCAAAATACATTCCTTAATCGGTCTTTTTCATCTAAATCCATCATGTGAAAGAATTCAGAATTGTCAGCTTGCATTTTCAAAAAGTAATTATGCATTGCTATAGCATCTCCTTCTCCAAGCTCTATGTGTCTGACCTTCTCCATATAATTCCTGCAATCCTTCTCTAAATATGTCAATTTCTCATGCCCTCCTACCTGAACCACTAATGAATTAAAACTCTTGTGCATTCTAATACCGACTTTAGCAAGTAATTCAAGCTTCCTTTTTACAGCTGAATTAAGAACCTATGGCATCTATAAAATCGAGCTTTTCCTGGGCTCACCCCATGATTATGGTCAAGAACCATAAATCTCAAAATTCACTTTCCATCACCTAATAGATTTGCACAAATCTTAGCTTTGCAATCCGTTTTTGATTGTGGATGCTATTGATGGAGTTTACTTGATTTAATCTTTGGCTTTCCACTATGATTACAAGCAATTGTCACATACCTCACCTCACCTCCTACTTTTTTAGAGCTTTTTATACACATGCCAAAACCTTTTTCCTTCACATACCGTTGATAGAATTGAACAAGGTCATCAATAGAATCAAACAACATTCCTACTTTAGGACCTTCTACACTTTTTGCCTTCTCTACGTCAATCTCATTATGACCTTCATTTAAGCCAACACTTTCAAAACCACTTGATACTTCCTCCATGTGTCTGTATTATAATATATAGAATAATCAATGAACAAAACAAAAACAACATAAATTAGAAAGTCTACTTTGTTAAACTAGTTTTCTTCAATTAAAAAGTAACATATTGATACATGTAACTGTTAACCAAAACATGGAAATATATTCTTTCTTTAATTTACAAATAAATCTATAAAAGCCATTATTTGTCCTATTTGCATTCTATTGCCTCTTTTCAAATTCGTATTAGTTAAGAGTTTTACAGATATGAAGGTTAAAAATGGTTTTATTGTATTTGGTTATGTCTCAAGTGGTGTTTGGTTATGACCCTTGGTTTATGATACATTATGGTGTTAAGGGGCAACACTGTGTAGGGGTTGGGAGGGGCCTGGCCTCCACCGATTTTTAACAATTTTTTTATTATTATTATTATTAATTCTATATTTATAAATATTTGTAAAATGTATAATAAGATGATCTTAGAGAACCTAAAACTTTACCGTTAAATTTATTCACAATGACATGGTAGGGGTTAGATGCTAATTGATATATTTTTAAACAAATCAACTAATATGTAACATTCAAAGGTATTGAGTGTAAATTCAAGTATTTTTCGAGGATCTTAAGCATTTTTTATTTTTATTTAATAGATTATATCAATCAATAAAATCACTTAAAATAGTGTTTTAACCTATTATATACTGAAATCTAATAGTTCAAACCTAATATATATATATATATATATATTAGATTTATTTAGTTTTCTTGTGAAATATTTCTTTAGCAACACTTGTATAAAAAATTATATTCAATTACTAATGTATCAAAACCAATTCAATATTTTTTATACATATACATTAGCCCCTCCCAAACAAAATCCATCATTCCGTCCCTAGTGGTATTGGTTATAATTGAGTTATGAGAGGTCTTTAATTATATTTTAAAGGTGTTTGGTTTTGATCCATTAAATTATGACAAAAAGTTATTTGATCATAATATGACACACTCTTTTTTAGGGATATATATATATATATACATATTATAGTATTACCCATATTTTAAACTTGTTGTTTACAAATTATGTATACAACATAATTATGCCCAATCCCAATTTAAAAGCAATAAAAGCATATAGGCATCTCGTATATATATTTTTTGAAGATCACCCCCACATACACTTTGAATTGAAACCATCAGGACAAAAATAATAAACAAGAAGACTAGCCATACTGGCACATCTAGTTGAAAAAAAAAATTGAGCACTAATAGCCTTCATTGTTTAAACAAAACAGGAAGCAACAATGAATGATTTATCGAAATTCGTAGGCAAGAGAGAGCAGGAAAAGAGTCTTCGTTCGATTCTTCTCTTGGGTTTAGTTTATCATTGATTCAATCGATTATCAGAGATGTGAAAGAGATATAGTCAAACCCACGAAGGAAGAGAACTTGTAAAGAGAAATGAACGAATACTTTAGTTCACCAAAACGACGTGAGAGAAAGGAAGTCGAAGATTCCGCAACTTTTTGGACGACTCTGCAAATTCTTATTTCCTTTTTTTTTCTCTTTTTTTTTTTAAAATTCTTTTGTTTATGACAGTGGACCCAGGAAAGTGATGTGGAATGCCATGTAAGCTTTCTGTAGAGTTGTTAGCAGGAATATAAGTAACCATAGCATTATTGTATGCAAATATATGTTCTTAATCAAGTTGGGTCCAGTCACATAAATATTCAAAACAAGACCTAATTAATGAAAGAAAATTTATTCAGAAATCACATCTCAGGAAATTAAGTATTGAAAAGCTTTAAATTTTTTTGTAGACTATTGAAGTTTCATTAAATTTGAAAAGGTACATCGGGAGATTTGAGAATACTGCTAAAACGACATTGTTTTGACGCACTAGCCCAATTAGAAAAAATATTCTCCCATACATGATTTTTGAATAGGAGACCTCATGAAGAGGGCCATATTTATAGACCACTTTGCCACCATCATTCCTTGCTAAGATTATATGCATATTGTAGACACCCTATTTTTGACGGCCCTTATGACTCGGACGTCATCACTTGCACACCCGATGATGAATGCATATACTTGTCAAGTGCTCGAAGTTCTTAGCGGAATACCACAGCTCTGAACCTTTCAAACCCTACACCCCTGTTGCCTTGTTTTTGGACCAAACCCCAGTGATCTTCAAGCCTGCAACCTCTGGTGGCCTGCCGGCCACCTTTATGGGCTATCGGCCTTTGCTCTTGGTTGCCAGCCATTGATGTGGCCTGCTAGCCACCAGTGATGGCCGGTCAGTCACCAATGTGTTTTGCAGATATTTTGTGACAGTTGTGCCAGCTGTTTGCACAGATGCATGCATCTGCTTCCACGTGTATGGCTGGACGTTCTTGAGGAAATTTTATGTTTGTCTATATATAGAGAGCCTCCCTTCTTACTTTGGGGTTAGAAAAATTTTGAAGCAAAATTTTTCCTCTCTCTCTCCTGCAAATTTCTTAACCTTTGCCTATACACTCTTAACCAAACCTCCCTATCTTCAAGTTGAGGTGCCTTTGAGCCTTGTTTGAGCTCTTGAGGTTGTGTTGGTCTTGTTGTATTGCTTGAAATTGGTTCTTCTCTTTAAGAGGTATAAAACCTTGTCTCTTTACTTGCTTTAATCATTCTTTTTCCTACTATTTTCCAATTGTTTTTGGGCTGTAAAAACTCAGTATTTTTGGACTGAAACATGGGTTTTAAAGCGAATAAAGGTTGAGGGCTGGTTCACCTTTCTTTACACCTTGCTTTCAAAGCCTTTACCCTTGTCTTTCCCACCTTTACACTATCATTTTTTGCGCTTTTAAACACTAAATTCAAATTTATTTCAGTGGCTAAAATCATGTTTTGAAGTCCAAAATTGGAGGGGTTAGCCTCTCATCCTTGTGTTTTGCTTACTAGAATACCATGATCCATGTTTTAGCTTATTAATCTAGCTATTTTTGTCTTAATTCCAGCATGTTTTAGGACTATTTTTAGACTGTTTTAGGACTGTCTTTAAGTGTTTGTTGCATTTGAGCTTTGTTTTCCATGCTTATAGTGTAATTGTTCTCGTGAGTTTGATGTTTTAGGCCTTAGACACCATCTTATTTGAGTTGATTGCATTTATTTATGACTTTTCAAACTTATGATCACTCTTAATCACCTCTGCAACCTCCCTCCTTTCTTGGCTTTTGTTTTGCTTTAAAAGTGGTTTCAAACTACTTGTTTGTTTAAGCATGAGATTGAGATGTCATGCTTAATAGTTTAATTCCTTTGGGGGTTCATTACCAATGGTATGATGTCTCTTTCATGTCTAAAACAACTCTTGGTTTGAGCCTTCTTTCCATTAGAGGACTTAAATTCACCTTTTGGACTCAATTGATTAAAGACTAGATGATAATCTAAAATGAAGTAATAAAATTGGTGATTAAAAAGATGCAAGATAATAACTTGTTTGGGTTCAATCGGACATTAATTGAACCCTTGAGTCTTGAGTTGTTTTATACTCATTAGTGATGAAAATGGTTCAAGATTTGTTATCAACTATTTCCCTTGGTCTTTCATGATAGGGAGGTGGTTTGAGAGTCTTGTTTTATTGCACTTATAGAACTTGCACACTTTGGTTCATAGGCCATCATGTAATGAAATTGCATAGATTGATGGTTTGTAAACCAAGTTTACTACTCCTTTGAGCTGTTCAGATGATAAGGATGGGGTAAAGGTGCAAACAAACCTTTGAGAATACACTATTTCTGCTCTATTTGCTCTTTGTTACAGCAGGGAAGTTCAGCTACTATCAGTGGCCAGCATGCTATCACCAGTGGACGGCAGGCCCTCTGCCGGCTGCCAATGCAAAATCAAGCAATGTACTCCTCCAGCAGAACAGAGTTGGTCTGGAGGTGGAAATTAGTACAAGTGTTCTACTGTGCAACAGAGACATTCAGCAGTAGAAATAGTGCTTTTCTTGGGTGGAAACCACATTCATGCATGAGCCTTTCATCGATCCTCGGTATCTGTTTTGCACATATTAGTGTTGTGTTTAGAATAGTGGCTTTGTACTAATTAGTTAGAATAGCTAATTTGTCTCGTGTTGTAATTATTTTAATTAGCTAGATTAGTTAATTAATTTGTTTTTGTACTAATTAGTTAAGTAGTGTAGTTAATTTAATTTGTTTAGTAATAATTAGCTTAGCTTTAATTAGTTAGCTAGTTAGTTAGCTTATTCATTCGGACTCTCCTTTGTGAGAATGCAATGTTGTAATAATGTGTATATCTTCTAATCCCACGTCTTTCTCCCTTTTATTTACTAGCTTATGATTGTTAGTTTAGGGACATCATGTTTTGTTATTCTCCATGTTTCCATCCATTTGTATTGCATGCATTGAGACTCGGTTCATCATTCTAACTTGCATTGTTAGTTAATACTTTTTTGAATATGTGCTTAGATCGCATGCTATCAAATTGCTTCATATATCATGTTAAGTAGCCGAGCCTAGTAAATTGCATATTGCTTGTATTGCATTAGTCATATTACCTAGTTAAGATTATACATTTTTCTAACTTTATCATTTCTTTTTGGCTTGGAGTACTAGGTGAGCCTTTACTCGTTTTAGAATATTGCGTTGCATGTTAATGTTACCATGTCTAGCATGCTTGCCATGAGACTAAATGTTAATTGATAAAATTGCTTGAATGCCTATGGATGAAGGCTAATTGCTTGAATTGAAATAATTTGAGTAATATTTATATGCGATCACTTTTTTTCAAGTGGTATATATTCGAAACAATTTTCAAAAACAAACATGAGCCAAATGTTTCAATTCTTGCAAGTTAGTCTATACTTGTGTGTGTGTGCGCATCGCATAGTAATCACATAGTAATGCTAACCTAATAAATCGGAACAAGAGCATATAATGATTAGTAGATGCCGGTCTTTGATCGGGAGAGCAGGGGTGCTCAATTCATGACCTTCTCCTCTCGTACCTAAGTTCCTGAGCCGAGAC